ATTCTTCTCACTGGCCATCAAGGTAAGGAGCATTCTTCTCACTGGCCACCGATGTAATGGACATTTTTTTCACCGGCCACCAATGTAATGGGCATTCTTTCCACTGGCCACCAATGTAATGGGCTTTCTTCTCACTGGCCACCAATGTAAGGGGCACCATTCTTCCCACTGGCCCACTGTAATGGGTCCTCCAAGACCTGAAAGTTTTTTCAAGGGTTCCCTTGGGTTAAAAAAAGGTTGAGATAGACTGCTTTAAATGAACAAAAATACAAATTTGTCATACGAAAAAAAGATTTATCAATATTTCAAATCCATTAAATTAGAATCGGGTGTCCCAGATTTCGTGCCAACGATTAGAACCTCCTTACGGAATGTGCAGGAGGGAACTGTCCTTTTTAAACCTCATACCTTTAGGGTCTGGTGTTCTCTTTAATATTGATATGTGCCATCATGCTAAGATCAATAGATAGTCAGAAAGAAAGTTGTGAATGCCTCTGAGTCTGGCAAGGCATTTAAAAAGATTGACAATTTGAAATTACATTCCACTATAAATAATCTACAAGTGGCATAGACTTCAAACAACTGCTAATCTGTCCAGGTCTAGTCAACCCAGCAACTTCAACCCAAGAGCCGAGAGGGGTCTAGAGTGCATGCAGTTGGGGGTCAAAGCGCATGCATCTACAGTCAGCAAGATATTGCACAAATTTCAACCTGCATACCAGATTTGTTAAGAAAAAGACTTTAATGATCCTAAAGGACATTAGAGCAAGACTTGCCATTGAACATATAGGTAGACCAGACTTTCTGGAAGAATGTGCTGAAGACTGATCAATCATAGATAGAGCTGTTTGGTCACAGTAACGGTAGACATGATTGCTGCAAACAGAAGATTCCAGGAGAAGAATCTTATATCAACTGTGAAGCATGGTGGTGGATTGGGGTGGCTTGCTTGGGGTTGCTTTGCAGCTTCACGGCCATCAAGTCATCGGTCCAAAAGATGAAGAAAAGGGTCTTCGTCACAAAAAAACGATCTGAAAGCGCCCTAGCAAACCCACCAAAGAATGGCTCGAAAAAGAATAAACAGAGTGTTATGGGTTGCTCCAATCGGTGAATGGGCAGTGAAAGGAGAAGCAGCCCAGTGATGAACTCATCTCTCTGGCTCTCTCCGCCTATCAGTGTGCTCTCCTATCAGCATGTCAGCACATAAACTGATTGACTCCTTGTGCTGCTTCTTCCTCTAAAACTCCAGGCCTTCTGTAATGTGAGCGGCTGACACCGGGTCGAATTCGGGAACTTTCGATACAATTTGATGATGGGTTAATGATTACAAAACTGCATTATTTTGGTCTTTTATATCTGCCTGGAGTTTGTATATGTTTTCAGGGTCTGGGCAGCCCGCAGTCATCAAGTCATCGGTCCAAAAGATGAAGAAAAGGGTCTACAACACAAAAAACGATCTGAAAGCACCCTAGGCAAACCCACCAAAGAATGACTCGAAAAAGAAGAAACAGAGTGTTATGGGTTGCCCCAATCGGTGACTGGACAGTGAAAGGAGAAGCAGCTCAGCGATGAACTCATCTCTCTGGCTCTCTCCCTTCCTATCAGCGTGCTCTCCTCCTATCAGCATGTCAGCACATGAATTGATTGACTCCTTGTGCTGCTTCTTCCTCTCAAACTCCAGGCCTTCTGTACCGCGAGCGGCTGACACTGGATGGATGAAAGAATTCGGGAAACTTCTGATACAACTTGATGATGGAAGGGTTAATGATTCCCGAACTGCATTATTTTGGTTTTTTATATCTGCCTGGAGTTTGTATATGTTTTCAGAGCCAGGGCAGCCCGCAGTCATCAAGTCATCGGTCCAAAAAATGAAGAAAAGGGTCTACAACACAAAAACGATCTGAAAGCACCCTAGCAAACCCACCAAAGAATGGCTCGAAAAAAGAAGAAACAGAGTGTTATGGGTTGCCCCAATCGGTGACTGGGCAGTGAAAGGAGAAGCAGCCCAGTGATGAGCTCATCTCTCTGGCTCTCTCCGCCTATCAGCATGTCAGCACATGAACTGATTGACTCCTTGTGCTGCTTCTTCCTCTCAAACTCCAGGCCTTCTGTACTGCGAGCGGCTGACATCGGGTCGAATTTGGGAACTTCTGATACAATTTGATGATGGAAGGGTTAATGATTCCCCAACTGCATTATTTTGGTCTTTTTTATCTGCCTGGAGTTTGTATATGTTTTCAGGTACCCGCCAGTCAAACGGAATATTTAAAATCCACAGATCCCCCCCTTCCCCAGAGACCGTTTCAGGCAGCACTGATCAAAATGCGTCATTCTGACGTCCATCTGCCCTTAGTCTTCGCCGTTCATGGCAGGACTTCTTTGGTTTTTCTTTCGAGGAGCGCATTCCTCGTCTAGTGGAAGAAGATATTGCTCTGCGGGGGGGGCCAGCAAATCAGCGCTGATTTTACTTAACAGCTTTTATCCCAAGAGCGGCGGGAGAGTTCCGACAAAGTGGACTTAATTAAAGCGCGACTCGGCCAGGACATCGTCACCTTGCCTGTAGGAAAGGCGCTGAATCCGGCTGTAGAAAGGATGGAGAACAAAGGGTGGGGAGTGCGTGGAGAAGACTGCAACCGGTTAATTGGGACGCCTTGTTTCCTTTCAAAGGCCCCAGAGTTGGCGCCATTGTCATAGGAGGCAGAGGGGGCTTATTCTTCAAGCAGCTCATTCACTGCAAAACTAATAATGTAGGAAAAGACGTTGAGGCAGCCAGTGGAGGATTAGTGATCATACATGGTCCAGGGTTCAGATTAGCGTGAAAGTGAAAGGAGAGCCCCCGAACAAAACCAGAGTATTGTTTTATAAAGGACGCTCATTTTTGATGAAGAATGATAAAGTGGACCTGTCACAGGGCTTTTGTTGGTCTTCAAGACAACACATGTACTTGGTAGGCGGGGTCACAGCTCCTCATGGGCGTATCTCCTACACCTTCTGCAGGAGTTTTGTTTATGTAAATCAAATTGTGAAAAGGTGACTTTTGCGCACTTGCTCCGGCATGATCTCTCTGCTTCTTGCCAAGGACCTGATACCTGCAAAGGTCAAAGGTCTTCACCCCGCCTCCCGTAAACTACGTGTAGCACTACTCGCTTCGGGAGTCTCTGAGTTTTGGGTCCCCCTTAAGCCCAGACAACACGCATTTTTCATATTTTGCACACTGGAGTCAAAGAACAGTCTTCGAGTTTGGTTTTGTGATTTTATTAAGGGGTTGAGAACTTGGATGGGGTCTAGGGGTATATGGGATGCCTGAGGTACTGTAGAACCTGAGGGCAAACTCTGTAGCAACTATGTGAATAGCAAGTCTCTTTCTTTGAAGAGCCCCAAAGACTCTTCCTAGCTTACCTCCTCAGACCTTGGATGATTAGTCCTTTTCACCCAGCTGCACTGAGGGTATTCCTTGGGCAGGGGGCCCAGAAACTGTCAATTTAGCACAAGCAGTTCCAGGTGAAAAACTAGTTAGGTCTTTCACCTAACTGCCCCTCCCCCCTTATCCAGATCAGGGGGTGTAAGAGTACTCATGCTGTCCTGTTCTGTCGCTTAGTGGGTTGGTGGTTGCCTTCAGGCCTTTTGCTGGGCTGGTTCCTTTCCTGCTGCTCAGGATGTCCTCCCTAGGAGATGGTGGTACAGTGGAGATCCACTCTTACAACAAGCTGCCTGTAGGTAAGCCCCTTCCCTGGGGCCCTCTCCCAGGCTCCACACTTCAGCCTTCCTGACTCCTCTTCCACCCAACTGACTACTGCGCTTCATGCTCTGTGATATTCGAGGGTTGCCTTGGTCACCATACCCAGCCAGGGGATTGGCCAAGGTCCCTCAAACATGCAGATCTGGGCCTCCTCCCCTCCACTCCCCTGCTCCACTTTCTAGAAAGGTTGGAGGGCTCCAGAAGCTCTGATCTTTTAGAGCCTCCCAGCCCTACCTTATTTCCCAGGCTGACTCATCCCAGGCTGCTACTCAGCCTCTAACTAAATAAAAAAAAAACTTAGCTAAGCTACAGGGCATTACCTCGGAAGTACTGAGGGTCTCCTCTCACTCTTCTTCCATCCTAACTGGACCTCTGCCCAATCAGGGAATGATCGTCCATTCCACTAAAGTCCAAATCCAACCATCTTGAGATGCTTAGAGTCTGGCTTTTTAATTTTTTTTTTTTTTTAGAAAAATCCCACTTTTTAGAGTGTAAGCTCCTCTGGTACAGAGACTGATATGACTGGCTCTGTGTTCTCTGTACAGCGCTGCGGTATATGTCAGAATGCAGGGTCCGGGGAGAGCGGATATAGTGAATGCGGGGTCCGGGGAGAGCGGATATAGTGAATGCGAGGTCCGGGGAGACCAGATATAGTGAATGCGGGGTCCGGGAGAGACCAGATATAGTGAATGCGGGGAGAGCCGGGTGAATGCAGGGTCCGGGAGCGGATATAGTGAATGCAGGGTCCGGGGAGAGCGGATATAGTGAACGCGGGGTCCGGGGAGACCGGATATAGTGAATGTGGGGTCCGGGGAGACCAGATATAGTGAATGCGGGGTCCGGGGAGAGCGGATATAGTAAATGCAGGGTCCGGGAGACCGGGTGAATGACCGGGGAGACCAGATATAGTGAATGCAGGGTCCGGGGAGACCAGATATAGTGAATGCAGGGTCCGGGGAGACCAGATAATGAGTGAATGCAGGGTCCGGGGAGACCAGATATAGTGAATGCAGGGTCCGGGGAGACCAGGGGATATAAAGAATGCAGGGTCCGGGGAGAGCGGATATAGAGAATGTAGGGTCCAGGGAGACCGGATATAGTGAATGCAGGGTCCGGGGAGACGGATATAGTGAATGCAGGGTCCAGGGAGACCAGATATAGTGAATGCAGGGTCCGGGGAGACCAGATATAGTGAATGCAGGGTCCGGGGAGACCAGATATAGTGAATGCAGGGTCCGGGGACCAGATATAAAGAATGCAGGGTCCGGGGAGAGCGGATATAGTGAATGCAGGGTCCGGGGAGAGCGGATATAGTGAATGCAGGGTCCGGGGGGAGACCAGATATAGTGAATGCAGGGTCCGGGGAGACCAGATATAGTGAATGCAGGATATAGTGAATGCCGGGGAGAGCGGATATAGTGAATGCAGGGTCCGGGGAGACCGGATATAGTGAATGCAGGGTCCGGGGAGACCGGATATAGTGAATGCAGGGTCCGGGGAGACCAGATATAGTGAATGCAGGGTCCGGGGAGAGCAGTTATAATGAATGTGCGGTCCAGGGAGACTGGATATAGTGAATGCAGGGTCCGAGGAGAGCGGATATAGTGAATGCGGGGTCCAGGCGGAGACTGGGGATATATAGTGAATGCAGGGTCCGGGGAGAGCGGATATAGTGAATGCATGCAGGGTCCCGGGGAGAGCGGATATAGTGAATGCGGGGTCCAGGGAGACTGGATATAGTGAATGCAGGGTCCGGGGAGAGCGGATATAGTGAATGCGGGGTCTGGGGAGACCGGATATAGTGAATGCAGGGTCCGGGGAGAGCAGCTATAATGAATGTGCGGTCCAGGGAGACTGGATATAGTGAATGCGGGGTCCGAGGGGACGAGATATAGTGAATGCAGGGACTGGGGTTTAGGAACACTTTAACCCCTAGTGTGCTTTTCACAGTCCAGAATGTAACTTGTATATATTAATAATCTTTTTCCGGTGTGTCTCCAATTCAATATAGATCATTCGATACGGAGTTCTTCTTTAATAGGCAGCCATTCCTATCCCCCCCCTCCCTACAGATATTCATTTGAATCTATTAATATTTTATTTTAATAGAGAGGGTCCCCGGAGAGCAGAACCTTTTTCATTACACAGAGAGATGAGAAATCACAGACAAAGGACGGGATATATTATTAACATGAACAGGCGTGTTGGGGAAGTCGGAGATTGCTGCTCGAGTCTTTCACGCCTGGAGATTGAAACACATGTCGGATAATGAATTTGCCCTTCTTATGTCCACCCTCCACCCGGGGGCCCCCTCTAGGGCGGAGCACCTTTCCGAATCCATTCACCTAATATTTAAAACTACACTGAAAAAAATTGAAAAATTAAAGCGAACCTTTCACACCGCAAGGCGGCTGAATGAGAAAAAAATTGATAAGAAGAGGAGACCTTTAGTGAAAACCGCGCGTGAAAATGATCAGCGGATCCAGAGATATAGGCAGCTGAAATCACATCAAATCTCCTGCAAGTTCAAGCTTGGCCCCGCCCCCTGCCGTTCCTTCATTGTGGTCAGCAGGCTCACTGACCAATAGGAAGCATCAGGAGGATGGGCCAAGCTCAACTCGGAAAGCAAAAAAAGAAGGTTTTATTACAACTTCAGCCGGCTATATCTCTGGATTTACTGATGGTATCGGCGTGCGGTTTTCACCGAAGAAAACCTCTGCTGATGAACTTTTATTCTGTACGCGTTTCTGCAGATCGCAAATGGAGTGCATTTTGCATGCGTTCTGAATCACACGGGAACGGTGCAGCAGTCATGGTGTGAACCGGCGCTGACTCCTTTCCAAAAACGCACCACACCGAACCGCTCATGTGTGCAGATACGTGGGAGTGCCGCGAGCAATTAATGGCACCCTTGTGCGTTTCTCTGCATGTTAGGAAAATGCAACAATTTGCGCACCTTCCCAATGCGAATAGATGTCAACCCAGCCCTGGCTTCATTTACATTTTATGCGTGCCGGAACGCACATGAGATTCCAGCGTGTTTCCGTACATCACTTGCAGGGCAGCCCATTCATTTCAGTTTTGTGCAATAAGCGCGGAAAAGTCCCTTCCAAAAATGTACCGCAGCACCACGCGGTTCCATTCGGCGCATTTTTGGAAGGGACTTTTTTGCGATCATGTGTGCAGATGTGTGGGAGTGCCACGAAAAATTAATGGCACCCATGTGCGTTTGCTAAATCACTGCGCGTTTCTCGGCACGTTAGAAAAACACGACAATTTGCGCACCTTTCCAATGCGAATTGATGTGAACCCAGCCCTGGCTTTGTTTCCATTTTATGCGCGTGCCGGAACGCATGTGCCATTCCAGCGTGTTTCTGTGCATCACATGCAGGGCAGCCCATTCATTTCAATTGTGTGCGATAAGCGCAGAAAAGTCCCTTCCAAAAATGGGCCGCAGCACCACGCGGTGCCATGCGGCGCATTTTTGGAAGGGACTTTTCTGCGCTCATGTGTGCTGATGCATGGGAGTGCCACGAGCAATTAATAGCACCCCTGCGCATTTGCTAAATCACTGCGTGTTTCTCAGCATGTTAGGAAAACGCAACAATTTTGCGCACCTTCCAATGCGAATCGATGTGAACCCAGCCCTGGCTTCGTTTACATTTTATTAGTGCGCCAGAACGCATGTGCGATTCCAGCGTGTTTCTGTGCATCACACGCAGGGCAGCCCATTCATTTCAATTGTGCGCGATAAGCGCAGAAAAGTCCCTTCCAAAAATGTGCCGCAGCACCACACGGTTCCATACGACGCATTTTTGGAAGGGACTTTTCTGCGCTTATCGCACACAATTGAAATGAATGGGCTGCCCTGCATGTAATGCACGGAAACACACTGGAATCACACATGCGTTCCGGTGCGTGCATAAAATGAAAACGAAGCCAGGGCTGGGTTCATATCTATTCGCATTGGGAAGGTGCGCAAAACTGTTGCTTTTTCCTAACATGCCGAGAAACGCGCAGCGATTTCGCAAACGCGCAGGGGTGTCAGTAATCACTTGCGACACTCCCACGCATCTGCACACATGAGCGCAGAAAAGTCTCTTCCAAAAATGCGCCGCATGGAACCGCGTGGTGCTGCGGCACATTTTTGGAAGGGACTTTTCTGCACTTATCGCACACAATTGAAATGAATGGGCTGCCCTGCATGTGCTGCAAGGAAACAAGCTGGAATCGCATGTGCGTTCCGGTGCGCACATAAAATGAAAACAATGCCAGGGCTGGGTTCACATCGATTCGCATTGGGAAGGTGCGCAAAATTGTCACGTTTTCCTAACATGCCGAGAAACGCGCAGGGGTGCCATTAATTGCTCGCAGCACTCCCATGCATCTGCACACATGAGCGCAGAAAAGTCTCTTCCAAAAATGCGCCGCATGGAACCGCGTGGTGCTGCAGCACATTTTTGGAAGGGACTTTTCTGCACTTATCGCACACAATTGAAATTGATGGGCTGCCCTGCATGTGATGCACAGAAACACACTGGAATCGCACATGCGTTCCGGGGCACGCGCATAAAATGTAAAGGATGCCAGGGCTGGGTTCACATCTATTCGCATTGGGAAGATGCGCAAAATTGTTGTGTTTTCCTAACATGCAGAGAAACGCGCAGCGATTTAGCAAACGCACATGGGTGCCATTAATTGCTTGCGGCATTCCCACGCACTTGCACACAAGTGCAGAAAAGTATTTTCCAAAAATGCGCTGCATGGAACCGCATGGTGCTGCAGCACATTTTTGGAAGGGACTTTTCTGCGCTTATCGCACAAAATTGAAGTGAATGAGCTGCCCTGCATGTGATGCACGGAATCACGCTGGAATCGTACGTGCGTTCTGGTGCGCGCATAAAATGAAAACGAAGCCAGGGCTGGGTTCACATCGATTCGCATTGGGAAGGTGCGCAAAATTGACGTGTTTTCCTAACATGCCAACAAACGCGCAGGGGTGCTATTAATTGCTTGCGGCACTCTCACACATCTGCACGCATGAGCGCATAAAAGTCCCTTCCAAAAATGCGCCGCATTGAACCGCGGAAATGTGGTTTGACGCACGCTTTCTGCAGATGCCTGGGGGGGTGCCATTGGCAATTAATGGCAACGGCATGCGTCTGCTAAATCGCGTGGAATTTTGCGCACGTTCCCGGACGCAAGCAAGAGCAGACATCTGCCGCCTTTGTCTATTTAAATGTATAATTTTCAGGTTGAATCGGAATCTTCGTTGTTGTTGTTGGGGGGTGGTACTATACACCGCGCTGACTGCGTATATATATATATATATCACGGCTCATTCTCGCCTGTCAGCTGCTCCCAGCGTCATGTTTCGGCGCGGTGCGAATCAAACACTAATAACGCTTTTATTTTATATATCCCGAGCTGTCAGCGCGCGGCGAGAAGCTTCTAGAACAAGATGAACGGTAATGTAGAGAAAGCCGCGCCGCGTTGCCTGCAATTACAGATATGAGCCGGCCAGGATGAGGACGGCGCGCTACAGAAAATAAAAAACAATCGAATAAAAAATCTCATTAAAACCGAATGTGCGTTATTACTGCGCCGTATATTTCTGTTTCTTCTTTTTTTTTTTTTATTCACGTAATCTTTTTATTTTTTTTGTTTGCTTTTCAAGATCTGCCAGCGAAGCGGAGAGGGGGGAGAAGGGCCACGTTCTGCGCTGCAAATGCTCGCCGTTTGAGTCATTCGCCATTAGTTCAACGCAGTATTAATGTGGACCCCGGGGCGGACTGACCGTTTGGAAACTCAGGCACTGCCCGAGGGCCCGGGGTCAGTAGGGGGCCCCATGAGATGCCCCTGGTACCTTTTTCATAGGCTTTTTTGAGTTTGGGCGAGGACAGAGGGGCCCCATGATCCCCTATTGCCCGGGGGCCCCATGATCCCCTATTGCCCGGGGGCCCCATGAGTTGTCAGTAGACCCGTCACGAGTATATTTTTGATATGTCATAATACACAGCAACAGGGTCATTAAAGCCAAACTCCACTCTTAATCTGACCTATCTTAGTCTAGCTTCACGCCTACGTTTTCCACTGCGTTTTGCAGAAACGCACAGCAGTCCATTTAACATGATTTCCGGAAGGAATATTGCCCCATCATTGGTGTCAGTGGGAGGAATAGTGCCCCATCATTGGTGTCAGTGAGAGGAATAGTGCCCCATCATTGGTGTCAGTGGGAGGAATAGTGCACCATCATTGGTGTCAGTGGGAGGAATAGTGCCCCATCATTGGTGTCAGTGGGAGGAATAGTGTCCTATCATTGGTGTCAGTGGGAGGAATAGTGCCCCATCATTGGTGTCAGTGGGAGGAATAGTGCCCCATCATTGGTGTCAGTGGGAGGAATAGTGCCCCATCATTGGTGTCAGTGGGGGGATAGTGCCCCATCATTGGTGTCAGTGGGAGAAATAGTGCCCCATCATTGGTGTCAGTGGGAGGAATAGTGCCCCATCATTGGTGTCAGTGGGAGGAATAGTGCCCCATCATTGGTGTCAGTGGGAGGAATAGTGCCCCATCATTGGTGTCAGTGGGAGGAATAGTGCCCTAGCATTGGTATCAGTTAGAGGAATAGTGCCCCATCATTGGTGTCAATGGGAGGAATAGTGTCCCATCATTGGTGTCAGTGGGAGGAATAGTGTCCCATCATTGGTGTCAGTGGGAGGAATAGTGCCCTATCATTGGTGTCAGTGGGAGGAATAGTGCCCCATCATTGGTGTCAGTGGGAGGAATAGTGCCCCATCATTGGTGTCAGTGGGAGGAATAGTGCC